CCAGTGTTGTTTCAAACTTTGGGGGTCTGACTCCAAATGGTTTTATTTTAGTCATTTTTTAAGCACTGCACAATTTGATGGAAACTATTCTGGTCCTAATTAACTCGCTCCTGTATGCACAACAAAGCACACATAAATCATCTCCTCGAGGAAAAAAGTAAGCTAAATACACATCAAACATGTCTACATTGACACTCTTTGTAAAGTCCATAAAGATGGGTTCTATAGATTGACTGAGAAGAACAAATTTATGATAAGGATCTAATCTAAAAGAGGGTCCAGTACTGGAAAAGTGTCTAGCCACACAGAGTGCAAAGGTCACCAGACTAGAAAGCCTGTCCCCTATGGCCTTCTGGATGGATAACAAGTTCTACATTCCTTCCCTTGGAGGAACAACCCTTGGTGTTTAACATCCCGGGTTCCCTAGTGCTTGTCCGTGAGCACAAAGACCTCTGTGCCCCCCACAAGTCTGAAGATGACTGAGTGACCCAGTGATGCCCAGGCCAACACCTCACTGAGATTGTTCCTCTCTGCTGTCTTGCCCCGAGGTGATAAGATGGCTAGATTGCCCCTCCCTGTTCAAAGCACAGACACATAGGAACAATCAAAGACTGTCCCAGAAAGTACTTTAGCCAACCCCTGAGAAGTCACTGGCTGCAATCGGGACTGTTCTAGCTGCCAAGGAGGTGGGAAAAGTGAGCCACAGAATTTGGGGTAGCTGAAGAACCAATTCAGCTCCATCATCAGAGACTGAGTATCTACATACTCTCCCAAATCTGTATGGCTATCCCTGAAGGGGGTGAGTGCTAGATACCAAGATGGAAGCCACCAGATCCTGCTATATATCTTCTCTGCTTCAAGCTCCTCATTTACATGTCAGTCAAGGCAGACATTAGATTAATGTATAAAGAAGACATGTGTCAACCTGTCTCCTAGACTGACAAGTCTCAACACAGGCTCACATTAGAAATTCCTGGGCAAAGTTGGAAACATACTAATGCTTAGAGTCAATGAAGATTTTAATAAACCCCTGGAATGAATTTTTTTTTTTTTTTTTTTTTTTTTTTTTTTTTTTTCGAGACAAGGTTTCTCTGTGTAGATCTTTGCCTTTCCATGATACCACTTCCCAGGTGTATGTGCGTTGATGGATTGATTCCTTTTGTTTTCGCTTTTTTTTTTTAGAGACAGGATTTCACTGTGTAACAGCCTTGGCTGTCTTAGAACTAGCTCTGTAGACCAGACTGGCCTTGAACTCACAAAGATTTGCCTGCTTCTGCCTCGTGAGTGCTGGGATTATAGGTGTGTGCCATCACCAAGAAACCGCAACATGTAGACTCTTTTCAGAACCACTGCGACAGACACAGCACGTTAGGAACCAGGTCTGTTCTGTACCCTCTAACTCACACCCTTGAGCATCAGGCTGACAGGAAGTCCTCACTGCGTGAGGGAACCAAAAGTGGGGGAGGGTGCCAAGATGGCTCAGTGGTTAAGAGCACCTGCTGCTCTCACCAGGTCCAGAATTCAGTTCGCAGCGCTCGCATAGAGTGTCTCACCACAGCTTGTCACTCCAGCTCCAGAGGATCTGATGTTCTCTTCTGGCCTCCTCAGGCCCCTGCACTCATGTGCACATATTCCCCAACACACACACACACACACACACACACACACACACACACACACACACTGTTTAAATCTGTGGGAGAGTTAGGAGAATACCAATCCATACTACATGGCACTACATGGAGAAAGGCAGTCATATTAGGACTGTCTCTGAAAATATTCCCCAACACACACACACACACACACACACACACACACACACACACACACACACACCTTTTAAAATTAATGAAAGTAAATCTTGTAAAATGGCAAAGCACAATTTCTCCTCTGATCTCTATTAGTCTGCACATGGTAGTGAACCCAGTCCTAACTGCAGGTTCTTCCCCTCAGAGCTCTCACTTCTTGAGCCCTGTACTTGGCCTCCCTTTATTAAGCACAGCCACAGCTCCAGGTGGCCTCTCGTGCGGGCACAGTGCCAGCTGCTCTTCTAACTGCTGTGTGGGACATCCCAGTCTCACTCTGGCTTGGCAGATGCCCTAGTCCAAGAGGATAACTCTCCAGCAACTGCCAGGCTTAACCCTTGGGCCTTGGCTAACCTCGCTGGCGGGGTGAGAGAAGAGCAGGCTGGGAAGGCTTGCAAACGCACTCCCATGCATTCAGTGGCAGAGTGTCCAGCCTTAATTCGACAGCAACCCACACAGAACAAATGCAAAAGGACATAGTTTATCTGATTCTTCGGACAGATGTGAACCTGAGAAATGCCCCTGCTGACATCACAAGAATGAGTCAGAGGTGAGCACATCCCCAGAGGTGGTGACTGCCGGTATCTCACTATCTGGTCCTAACCCCACCACACTTTTAAAACTACTTGTTCCAAGATAAGTCACAGGAACAGTCTGATGACAGGTAGTGTCCATAGTTCTAGGAACACCCACATCAATACTTGGAGAAACCTCGGGCTGGGTTTTAAACTCTATTACTACCTTAAAATTCTCAAGTTTTTAAACAAAAGGCCTCCTATTTCATCTTGCACCAGACTCTACAGCTGTGTGTCTGGTCCTGATCAAACACAAGCTCATACAAAATCAGCAAGGTTTGGGAGGCTAAGGGAGAAGAAGTGTGAGTTCAAGACCAGCCTGGGCTACACAGTGAGTTTATGGTTAGCCTGAGCTACATAGTGAGACTCTGTCTCAATAATAATAATAATTGGCAGGGTGTGGTGGTGCACGCCTTTAGTCCCAGCACTCGGGAGGCAGAGGCAGGAGGATCTCTGTGAGTTCAAGTCCATCCTGGTCTACAAAGTGAGTCCCAGGACAGCCAAAGCTACACAGAGAAACCCTGTCTAGAAAAAAAATAAAATTGATGATGATGATGATGATGATGATAATATAACCACCCAGTACATTTTCCTCCTCAGGAAGACCTGCAGTCTGACTTCATCCTCCTTAGAGTACCCTCTTATGTCTCCCCCTTACTCTGTGACCCCCACATTCCAGTTTTCTTCCACTTCTAGTGGGAGTGAACCAGAGAGTTCCACACAAGATCACCAATAGTCAAAGAAGCACCGAGTACCTAAGTGTGGCTTGGGGGTGAGAGACGCCAATGGGAATAGGAAGTGGTTGGAGAAGGATGTGACTGGGTCGTGGGCTTTGTCTGGTCACTGACGTAATCCAAGTCTAGGCATGTTTGGGGCCTCCATTTACCTGCCTGCAATCTGTGAGGGTGCAGCTGGATGGCCCCCTCTTTTGAGCCCCCGTGCATCACTGAAGCTCTAAATCCTGCACCAAACTGGAGATGGTGTGGGTAAGATGATACCACAGGGGACCAGGCTGTGAGGTGGCATCAGTGTGGCTGGCTGGCCATAAGGGTCAAGGCAGTTATACAGGAGACGCCCATGAGCTAAGGTATTGGGTGGTTCATCTACATCAGTGGCTCTCAACCTTCCTAATGATGCAACCCTTTAATACAGTTCCTCACGTTGTGGTGACCCTCAACCATTAAATTATTTTTGTTGCTACTTCATAACTATAGTTTTGCTACGGTTATGAAATGTAATGTAAATATCTGTGTTTTCCAATGGTCTAAGGCAACTCCTGTGAGAGGATCATTTGAAACCCCAAAGGGGTCATGACCCACAGGTTGAGAACTGCTGGTCTACATAGACATCCATAGCCATGACTTTGGGTCACCCCTGCCTCTGCAAAGCATGGGAGGTAAGGTGGAGCGGGAAAACCTGTCTTGGTGTTGTAATCTGTTCTGAAAGACGGTCATGAAAACAGCAACATTTGCATGTCACCGCCACAAGCTCTCTCCTGTCCGCTCCACCTCGTGGGGCCTCTCTATGCTCTACCTTTGTTCAGACACAAGGGCTCAGGGACACACACAGAACACTGCAGCCTCAAATCCTTCCTTCCCACTACCCAGCGGACATCAGGAGAGGGGATGGTGTGAAGTGGGGGCCTGCAAACACTCCTTAGGATGAAGAGGCCTTGGAGGAAAAGATAAGGTCATCCTAGTCATCTTTGGGTCACAGGCATGAAGAGGGTCTCAAAATGCCATCCTTGGAGCCCAAGAACATCACGGAACACAAAAGCTGGCGGGAAAACTCCTAAGCCACCCTATCAGACTTCAAGAGCCTAGCCTAACACCATCTACACAGCAAACGGAAACTGAACCACAGCGCCCCCTGGCAGTCAAAAGGGTTGGCCCTGTGAAGATCCAGGTGCATCCTCTGAAGATGTTTGCCAACAAAATGCACCATGGGGCCTACAGAGAACACGGGGCGTGCAGGAAGGCTTGTGTTCCGAGTTGCTGAGATGGAACTGCAGGGTTCTGCCCCCAGGGCAACCAAGCAGCCGTCCCTTTGGCCAGCTCGACTCTGGACAAGAAAAGGAGATGCCGGAAGGCAGTTTTCAGCAGTAGATAGACGACAGCAACCACTGAGCTGCGGGAGGAGAGCCTGGGACAAGGAATGGAATCCAGGCCTGTTCTCCCACACATATCATCAGGGGCTGGGATCTGCTCTCTCTTGGCATTGCCTGGCCAGGCCATGGCTCGGGTATCTGACACCTGGGGCCTAGAGTCACATGCCAGGAAACTCTAGACACTTGGGCCCCAGGTCGCAGCTTCCAGCTGCTGCAAGCAAACAGGACTTCTGAAGGAGGAAGCGGGTCTCCAGAGCCCACTGTCAGGGGGACTACTTCTGGGGAGAAAGGTAACTAACTGCACAGGAGAGGACTCAGCCAGGCAGGAGGGAGAAGGAAGAGGAGGAAGAGGAGCAGAGAGCTGGGGAAGGCAGAGGGGCAGAAGCTTCCAGAAAATGGGCTTGTGGAGCACAGAAGGTGGAGCCAGAAGTCCGTTACCTACTTGAATAGTCTAGCTGAACACCTGGAGTCCTGCCACTGATCTGTCACTCTTGTCTTTACATTAGTGCCTACCAGACCCCCTGGTGTTTACCTGGCCTCCCTGGCAGTCACACAGGTACGTGGAGGACCAAAAAAAATCATTTATTTCGAGAAGCAAAATGAGTATAAAAGCTGAAGCAGTAGTTTGGAACCTCCCAGGCCCATTTCAACAGGGCAAAGGGACAAAGGGGCCTCATAGATTAACCTTCTAAAAGTTTCAAGCCTAAGGGAGTCTCTCCCCTAGAATCCTGTTGAAGACAGACAGACAGACAGACCTAGGGCTGAGAAAGCCCCCAAAGGAGAGGTTCTGGCCCAAAGAGTCTCCACCAAGGAACTCCAGCAGAGAGCCTCAGGGGAACCTAGTATTCTAACGTTGCTCTTCCTTCCTAGGACCTTCTACTGCCCAGATTCTCCTTCACGCACGGATTATGTTTATCTGTGACCATGCTCCTACAAGCTCCTGGCCTCCTGCACCTCCTGCTGGTGATAGGCACAGGGGGTTCGGTGCCCACCCCCCAGGCGCTGCCCCAGGGCTGCTACATGGCCGAAGAAGCTAGCGACCAGACATTCCGCTGCAGCCGGGCTGGCCTGAGTGCCGTACCCGACGGCATCCCCAACGGCACCCGAAAGCTTTACCTGGATGCCAACCAGCTGGCATCCGTGCCAGCTGGTGCCTTCCAGCACCTGCCTTTCCTGGAAGAATTAGACCTGTCTCATAATGTCCTTGTCCACCTCTCAGGAGCTGCTTTCCAGGGCCTGGAGGGCACTCTGCGCCACCTTGACCTCTCCGCCAACCAGCTAGCATCCGTGCCTGTGGCAGCCTTCGTGGGGCTGCAGATCCAAGTGAACCTGTCCGCCAACCCATGGCGCTGCGACTGTGCCCTACAGGAAGTGCTCAGGCAGGTGAGGTTAGCTCCAGGCTCGGGGACAGGCATCGTGTGTGGTCCAGGAGCCCGACCAGATCTCGTGGGACAGGAGTTCCTTCCGCTGACTAGGGAGGAAGAGCTGTGTGGCACGGGACGAGGTGGGACCCGAAGGAACACCGATGTGGCCCTGCTAGTCACCATGGGAGGCTGGCTGACACTGGTAGTGGCCTATCTGATCCACTATGTGTGGCAGAACCGCGATGTGACCCGGCGCCCCGTCAAGCGGGCTCCTGTGCAGCCCGTGCGCTCCGAGGACTCCTCCACCGTCAGCACAGTGCTCTGAGGACCAGGAGCACTCTGCGCTCTTGGCCCTAACCTTTCCTCTTCTCCCACATCCTCCGCCCCATCTGCCCACTCTCCCAGCCTGCCTCCCTCACTACCTTCTCGGCTCCACGCTTATTCTCTTGCTCTCTCGTTCTTTCTTCTCCAGAACACTATCTTTGGAGCCTGGATTTGGGGGTACCTCCTTCTATACCTGGGTTGTGCTAGACTCAGAGAATCCCAAGTTCCTGAATCCACCAGGTTTGGTGGGGGCGGCAGAAAAAACAACCATCTCAGTCTGAGGAGATGCAGAGGGAGAAGCCAGTAGCTTAGGAACATAGGGGAGCAGCCTGCACCTGGCTACAGGTGACCCCAGAGGCCTCACCATACAGATGTAGGTAATGATGCTAGAAAAGTGACAGCTTGGAGGGGGGCTAGGGAGATGTTTCAGTCAGTGAAGTATCTGTCCTGCAGGCCTAAGGACTTGAGCTCAGATCTCTAGTACAGGGGACAGGGAAATTCTGGGAAAGGAAGTAGGGGACCATGGCGCAGGGGGTCCTTGATAGAGGACACAAGGAGAAACGCCTGGATACTAGAGATCTGGGTGGGTGTCTGTAATCAGGCAGGGTGGGTGTCTGTAATCAGGGTGCTGGGGTTGAGAGAGAGACAAACAGACCCCCGGAGCTCATTGGTCGACCTGCCTAGCCAAATCAGTAAGCTCCAGGTTCAGTGGGCCACTGGACACTGGCCCGAAATAAGGGGGAGAACAATTGAGGAAGACATTCAGTGACGTCAACCTCTGGCCTTCAGTTGCACCCACAAAGACGCCCACATGAACATGTATATACACCATGGAAACACACACCCACACACACCCATCCAAAGTGAGGGCTTTGGGAAGAGAGGAGGGAGTGTACAAAAGAAGGGTGATATGAGAAGATTTGGGGATGTGGGAAGCAGCCTTGGGAGTGGGAGACAGGGTGTGGAGACGGGTGAGGGAAGGGGGGGAGCAATCTGGGGATACAAACAAAAAGCAAGGGTACAGCCATATTGAGAAGGACCTCTGGGATCTTCCTCTCTGCCCCCTCCGCCTCCTCTCCTCCACCTCACTTCTTACCTCTCTCTCTATCCAGGCGTTTCTCCTGTATCCTCTATCAAGGACCCCCTGCGCCATGGTCCCCTACTTCCTTTCCCAGAATTTCCCTGTCCCTCTGCGCCCTCTCCTTTATACACTGACAGCTTTCCTGAGCCAGTTTCCCTTGGGGGAAAGCTGGTCCCCTTTAGAGACTGAACTGGGGATGCAGGACATCATTGAGCAATTCAATTAAAAAGAAAAAAACTTTTATGAACATCCTTGATCTCTTTCTCATTGTTCATTTTACTGAACATGTGTGGTATGGCATTGAGGAGCAGAAGAATGTGGAGCCCCGCCCACCACCTCTCCTCTCTGTGGGGTGATCCCCCACTGGGCTACATGCCCACCCCATCTCTTTTCCTGCCTTGGTCCCTGACATTGGAGTCCAACAGTAGGAGTCAGAGTCTGTGAACTAATAAGGATGGAACTGGAAGTGTGAGGGAGGCAAGAGAGAAGGTGGCCTGGCTTTAGCCCTCAACTCTGCCAAGAATCAGGGAGGATAGAGCGGGTTCTAGGATGTCAAGGGCCCTGTGAAGCAGGTGGGTAGCCTTGCTGATGTTACAATACTTAAGGCTCAGCAGAGAAGAGAATGGTAAGCTTTTCCGAGGAACATAGTATGTCAAAACTAGTCTCTTCTACCTAGATGTACCAGGCAGGAAGCGAGACAACGAGCCCCAGAAAGCCCAGGCTTCTGCTCCTGGGAGTTGAGAACGCTAAAGGTGAAGCCCTATAGAAGCCAGTTGCTACTGCCCGGTACCCAAAGCTCAATCTGGGCGTGAACACACAGGGTTTCGGGTGCTAGAAACCCAGGTGGAGGATGAACTGCGATGCTGAAGCGCTTGATCCCACTAGCGAACTTCTGACAAAGAGGAAAAGTGCTAAGCTGGCCCCAACGCGGAGCTGCACTGGCTGAGGACAACGTGAGAGCTGGAGAGACCCAAGCCCGAGTGGGTGGGCGGAGCTTGAGAGGAGTGGGCGGGACTGCGTGGTGCAGGGCGGAATAATTAGGGGGCGGGACTGAGCCACGACCTAAGGGAGCGGGAGACAGGGTCGAAGAAGGGGTCGGGTGGGGCCGGGGTGGGACTGAAGCAAGGTGGGAAGTGGTGCTGAAGCGTCATTTGGGTTGCCCCGGGCAGCCAAGAACAGAGGCTTTGGAGACCGTCACTGGTGTGGTGACGCACGCCGAGCTGGACGGTGACTCCGGGACTGGGGGTGGGGGGGAGAAGCAAAGAGGGTACTTAGGGCGACTGGGGGCGGGGCTGGCCACCCGAGGGAGAAGGGCTTACATGAGGCCTTAACCGGGAGATTATCTTAAGCCTCGGTGAGAGCCCGGAGCTCGCGCCCGAAGGAATGCCCACTCGCCTCCCTCCGGAAGCTTCCCGTTCTTCGAACTGCAGAAGTATCTTATCTGCCTGGTGATGACCCGGGATCTTAAGGAGCCAATTGGTCTTGGGAGAGAGGCATGGTGACAGTCCTTAAGCAGCTGCTGGGACTTCCAGCAAACTGGACTCCCAGCTGTCTAGGAACATCCTCCACCTGCTGGCTCTGCGTGGTCAGGGTCAGGAATGAGGGGAGAGCAGTCCTCTATGTGCTGGGCCTACAGGATAGGTACAGTAGCACCAAACAGAACCTACTGTATATTGTGTAGTTCTTAGTGCAAAAAGAAAATGCAGTTACGTGTTCAAAAATAAAAATAATTAGGCTGGAGAGGTGGCTCAGCAGAGGACCCAGGGTTTAATTCTCAGCACCCACTGAGCGGCTCACAACTGTCTGTAACTCCTGTCCCAGGGGAATCTGACGCCCTCTTCTGGCCTCCATGAGCACTGCATGCACATGCTGCACACTCATACACGTGAAATAAAAACAAACGAAATAGCCAGGTGGTAGTGGCGCTCGCCTTTAGTCCCAGCACTCGGGAGGCAGAGCCAGGCGGATCTCTGTGAGTTCGAGGCCAGCCTGGGCTACAGAGTGAGTTCCAGGAAAGGCGCAAAACTACACAGAGAAACCCTGTCTCGGAAAACCAAAAATAAATAAATGAAATATAAAAATAAAAAAGACAGCCGGGCGGTGGTGGCGCACGCCTTTAATCCCAGCACTCGGGAGGCAGAGCCAGGCGGATCTCTGTGAGTTCGAGGCCAGCCTGGTCTCCAAAGCGAGTTCCAGGAAAGGCGCAAAGCTACACAGAGAAACCCTGTCTCGAAAAGCCAAAAAAAAAAAAAAAAAAAAAAAAAGACAAAACCGGGTATGGTAGCAATACATTTCTAATCCTTGCACTGGGAGAATTCTGAGGTGGGAAAACTGCCAAGAATTTGAAGCCAGTCTGGGTTATATAACAACACTCTTGTCTCAAAACAAACAAACATCTTTTAAAAAGAGTTAGACTGGTCTTGCTGGTGCACTTGCAATTCTAGTACTTGGGAGGCCAAGGCAGGGGACCAGAGGAATTCAAGGGAGTTAATGCAGAGACTCATGGTTGGGAAAAGTGCTCAGAGTGAGTTACTCCTGAGTGCCTGGCGCTTAATGGGGTATCTGTATCAACCCCCACCCCAAGGCTCCAGAAACATCGTGGAAGAAGAGAGAAAAGAACGGAAAACCCAGAGCATGGGGACAAGTGCTCTGAAATGTCTCTGGACCTGACATGTCATTGTGCCCATGAACTTACCGGCTGTGATTACTGAAATAGGACCTGCACAAGATTAAGCCAACAGGATCAGCAAACATCCCAATGGGCGGTGCTAAGTGGACTCACGGAGGGGGGGATGGGGGGAGGGGACATGTTGGGAGATGCTGGGGGAGCGGGAAGGGAGGGTTGGAAGTGTATGACCAAAAAACATTGTTAACAAGTACTCCATTGTCATACAAGCAAGGAAAAATATTCTGTTACCAAAACAAAAACTCACATGTGGGACTAGATAGCTCAGGGGTTAAAAGCACTTGCTGCTCTTGAAGAGGATGTGGGTTTGATTCCGAGCACCCCCTTGGTGGCCTCAGCCCTCACATGTCAGCTTCCAACTGTCTGTAACTCCAGTTTCAGTGGGATCTGATGCCCTCTTCTGGCCTCCATGAGCACTGCATGCACACGGTGCACACTCATACACGTGAAATAAAAACGAATAATAAAAGGGTGTGCTGTGGAATAATGCTTTTGTACACTGGTTTAATAAAACGCTGATTTGGCAAGAAGCCAGGCAGGAAGTATAGGTGGGATAAGCAGACAAGGAGGATTCTGGGAAGAGGAAGGCTGAGTGAGGAGATGCCAGCCCACCATCCAGGGAGCAGCATGTAATGGCACACAGGTAAAGCCACGGAACATGTGGCTACATATAGATTAACAGAAATGGGCTGAGTTTAAGTGTAAGAGCTAGTCAGTAGTAAGGCTGAGCTAATGGCTGAGCAGTTTTAATTAATATAAGCCTGTGTGTGTTTACTTGGGTCTGAGTGACTGCAGACCGGGCAGGACACAGGAAAACTTCAGCTACAGGTTAGAGATGGCTCTGTAGTTAAACCATTTGTTTAGATGCTGCAAGAAGAAAGCATGGAGACTAGAGTTGGGATCCCCAGGGTGCACATAAATGTTGGGTGGTATGGTGGCATACCTGTAATTACAGCATTAGATGGTGGAGACAGGGTCTCACTGGAGCAAGCTGACTAGCTACACTACTATTGATGAGCTCTGAATTTGACTGAGATACTTGCCTCGATGGATAAGACAGAGACCAATCAACAAAGACTCCCAATATCAACCTCAAGTCTCCACAAGTACATGGAAACAGACACATGTGAACATGCATGCACCTGGGTACACCAACACACACATACACAGGACAAAATACTTTAAAAGTCAAGAATTGCTGAGCAGTGGTGGCACACGCCTTTAATCCCAGCACTCGGGAGGCACCAAAACTACACAGAGAAACCCTGTCTTGAAAAAAAAAGTCAAGAATTATTATTCAAGGGGCTAGAGAGATGGCTTATTGGTTAAGAGCACTTGTTCTTGCAGAAGACCTGGGTTCGGTTCCCGGTACCCACATGATGGATCACAACCATCCATAACTCCAGTTCCAAGGGTGCTTTTTTTCTGCCCTCCATGAGCACCAGGCACACACTTGGTGTGTGTGTGTGTGTGCGTGTGTGTACATATATGTATATATATATATAGACAAAATACTCATAAACATAAATAAATCTTTTAAAAAAATGTTTTAGAGTCAGACATTGTGGTGCACACCTTTAATCCCAGCACTAGGGAGACAGAGGCAGGCAGATCTCTGTGAGTTCAAGGCCAGCCTGGTCTACAAAGTGAGTTCCAGGACAACCAAGGCTATGTTGCGAGAACCCTGTCTCAAAAAAAAAAAAACAAAAAAAAAAAAAACAGTGGA